ACAACTGTAGGTTTTGAGATGCTGAGTACAAAATTAACTTCAGAAACATACAATATAAAATACGGATTTTATAATATAGTATGTTTCTGAAGTTAATTTTGAAGTTTATTCTGAAGTTAATTTTTCTCAGCATCTCAAAACCTACAGTTGTTTTGGTATTTTCATTGTGTATATACACAATAATAATAAACTCTTAAACACAAATTATATAAAAGTTTAACTTTAATATACACATACCACAAAGTTTAAATTTTTTTTATTATAATAATTTATTATTCTACCAGCGACATACTGCTAAACATCTTCAACTGAGTAATTATAGACTGGCAATTTAATTATATAATTTAAAAAAATTCAAAAATATTATCATTTTTGCTTATATCTAGCGTAAACAAGGCTACTTATTCACCGTTCCTAGCTCGACGTCACGAAATAATTAAGAGTTATTTTGATTTCAAATCTGCCATTATGGAGGACAACTAAGTTAGCGGAACTAATATATTAATTATAATATTCATAGTTTTTTCAAAAAATATAATATTTTATAAATTTTAATGTATAACCAGAATAAGAAAATATAAATCCTGATCTGATTTATTTAGTTATTATCATTTTTTTATTTTAAATTAAAGTTTAATATATAAATATGCAAATATTGTAATAATAAAATTATAGTATGGTCAACTTTTGTGCTGTATTTATATGTTCAAATCGTTCAAATCGTGAAAAGGGAAAATCTTTTTTTCGTTTACCAAAAGTAGCTTGCAATCAAGGCGATGATGGTAAGATTTTATCAAAAGAACGTAGACAAAAATGGATAAATGCCATAAACAGATTTGGTAACTATCCTGATATCCTCCACACTCGAATTTGCAGTGATCATTTTATTACAGGTAGAATAAGCCTTTTTACCTTTGAAATATTTTTATTACTTTGAAAGTTTAATATCATTAACTGTTTAACATTTTTATTTTTTTATTTAGGAAAACCTGCTTCTCTTTTCTCACAGAATGATCCTGATTGGGTTCCATCCTTAAATATATGGGGCACAAAAAGTTTAAGTTTGAGGTTGAGAAACCTAGAGAAAGATACTTACGACACAAAAATTGTTCATTGTTAACAAGTCGAAATGATTCTATGTCTTGTAGAAACAGCATCACTAATTTATACCCTTCTGAAGATTCAATTGTAGATTTTCAAATAGAGAATTTTAAAAGTAGTGATTCAATTGTCTCAGAAAGTGTTACAATAGATTGTAAAGACTTAGTAGATGCGAGTGTTCAAACTGATATGACTGTCAAAAATATCAATCAAATAGAAACTGAGTTTATATATAAAAACAAACTTAATTATGATTTGCGTGCAAATTTAGTCAAACTCCATGTGGGAACTATTGAATGGTTTGATACCAATTCAAAAGTAACATTTTACACTGGAGTGCCAAATTTGAAAATTTTATGTTGTTTATTTAACTTCTTAAAGCCTCTTATAACTGAAAATGAGAACTCAGCTGTGATAATTGATTGCTTTGAAATATTCATAAATAAACCATCTAATTTATGTGCAAGAGCAGCAACCTGGTCACAGTACAAACATCACAATACTGTTAAATTCTTAATAGGTGTAAGCCCACAAGGTATGATAACATTTGTTTCTAAAGCTTGGGGAGGACGTGTTAGCGATAAATACCTAACAGAGCATTGTTCAATTTTTAAAAACATTCTTCCTGGAGATGTTATTTTAGCTGATAGAGGTTTTAACATTGCTGAGAGTGTTGGTTTTTATTGTGGGGAGCTAAAGATTCCAGGATTTACAAAAGGAAAGTTACAACTGACTTGTTCAGATGTAGAAACAACCCGGAAAATTGCCTCTGTTCGAGTACACGTTGAGAGAGTTATTGGATTGTTACGTAACAAATATAAAGTTCTGCAAAGTATTATGCCATTAGATTACTTATATACTAAAGATTCTGGATTATGCACAATAGACAAAATTGTTATTGTTTGTTCTTCGTTGATAAATATATGTGATTCAATTATTCCTGTGGAATAATTTTTAAAAATTTAACAGGATTGAATAATTAATTGAAACTAGATCTTATAAACAAAAATAAATATTATCAAATTAAGTATAAAATATTTTTATTAAAAGTTTACATTTTTATTTCAATTTTATACAATAGTCGTGATCATTAAAAACTTTGTTTTCTTTTTTAAAGTAGCTGTGTTCTATTAGTATAAATTTATTTTTATCTGATATTTCTTTCATTAATCGATTTTTTTGGCTGTAAAATTTGTTAATTAGTTCAGGTAAAATACATTCTTCAAAAAATTGTTTAGATTTTAAATTCCAAATCCGGCAATATTCTTTCGCAATACGAATCTTTTGATGTCCAAATAAAAAAATCACAGTAGTTACTTGATGAAGCATATAACTGACACTGAACTTGATAGTAATATTTATGTGATTTTTTTAAAGATATATAACCAGCTTTATTTTCCAGACAACAATTTTTAAAATCTAATAATTCGCTAATGTATTTATCTCTCATACTATATGGACATTTTATCTCCAGACAACCATTTCCACAACAATCACAATTAATAACTGCATCTGGTGATGCACCAAGGAAGGGTTGTTGAACTGAAATAAAAAATCCACAATTTTTTATTGAAAATTTAGAGTGTTTCTTTTCCATAGTTGTGGAATATAAAGTCAATGCTTTTTTTTCATGGTCATTTCCCCATTTTGTTGCTGCTGTGCAAAAACGTGCTTGAATGGGGTAACATACTTGCATAATCAAACTGATTGGTGGTTGGGTGATGTTTGCGCAGCATACACTCCCGAATTTTGAAGCAGTTATACGACCTGCCCTAAGTAAAACCAGTTTTTACTTTTTGCTTGAAGTCGCGTTGTACTCTCAACATTTTTACTTTGCTCAATCGTTATTGTAATTTTTTTTTTTTTACAAGCAGCTAGGAGTTGTTCAAAGTTTAAAAATATATTTTTATAATAAAGATCTGACAATGATTCAGGATATTTTTCTGTTATTATTGATGGTTAATAAGGTTTGGTAAACCCAGGATTAATTGAAAGAATAGCTGGTTTTGTTCCACATTGACTAAGGTCTAAAAAAAAAATTATCAGTTTCAACTTTTGTTGGAATAGAAACACTTTTTCTATGTGCTATTTTTTTGTCATAGATTATGCCTTGAACTTTATTATTTAAATTGCATTGCAAAGATTTGGGTGATGTAAAATCAATATCTGAAACAGGCTTGAATTCTATCTTTTTAGAGCTTGGTAGTAACCAATAAGCTTTTTTATCAGTGCATGTTTTTGAATTTCTAATTTTAACTGCACACTCAATATGAAATAGTACCGCACCAACATGTGAACAACTTTCTCCGAGACCAGCCATGCAATTGCAATGTGCACAAACTATATTTCCTGACTTCTCCAAAATAATCCATGGATGTAATGGTACATCATTCATTTTTTGAGAGTGTTTCACCTAAAAAAATTAGGACAAAAAATTAAAACAAGAAAGCTATTTCTATTTTAATATTGAACTAATAATTAAAATAACCTACTCTGCCATAAATAAGAACATATTTCTCAAATAATTTCACACCAGCGTTGATAACCCAACCTGATACAAATTGATTATAAGAATCAAGAGCTTTGTAGGCTTTTAACTGATCCTTAGTAAGAGGACTTGGAGCAAATAAAAAATAGTTAACAATATCCGGATATGTAACATTTGGATAACTATCTATATTATCAGAGAAATCAGTATCTTTAAGAAGATATGGGTCAACGTGGTTTATAAAGCTTATTTTTTCTAAGTATCTTTGCTTTGCATTAGAATCAAGCTTAGACAAATGTTCGCTTTCTGTTGACATTTCCGAACTATTTGTTTACGTTTGTTTGTCCTCCATAATGGCGGTAACGCATATTTACGTATAATTAGAATAAATTAATGACGAGGTAGAAACGGTGGATTTAACGATAGATTTAACCTACCTAACGGAAGCTTCACACCATATTTGCGCATGCGTAACGCTTGCACAGAATTGGCTGTCTACTTATTTAACGATCTACTTATTTAACGCGACACCCGGGTTACTATTACATTGACGTTTTCATCCCGCAGCAACTTTCAGTTTTCAAATTTCAACTCGGCCGGGTTGAATTTTTTTAAATGTAAAATGTCTATTCGTGAAAATAATAATATTTTACAATTAGTGTTATTTATAATTCAACAGTGCAGTCTACTTACAGCACTTATATTGCAACTTAATGATTTAGTAATTACATACAAATTATTAGAAAGCAAACGAAATATTGCCCTTGGTGCTTATTTATGCACACGAAAAAATAATTTGCAACGTAAGAAGGAAACTTGCTAGACAAAGACTTATGAACAGAAAATCTAGAAGTTTATGGGTGGAAAAGGGGAGAACTGATTTATGGTGGCAAAATATGATTGGACCAGATGTCCCTGAAACTTGCTGAAAAAGAAATTTCCGAATGACAAAGGGATGTTTTCTAGAGCTTGCTGCTATTATAGATACTGTTGTAAGTCTTTTCTGATATATTTATATATATATATATATATATATATATATATATATATATATATATATATATATATATATATATATATATATATATATATATATATATATATTTATACATACATATGGGTATATATATGTATATATATATATATATATATATATATATATATATATATATATATATATATATATATATATATATATATATATATATATATATATATATATATATATATATATATATATATATATATATATGGGTATATATATATATATATATATATATATATATATATATATATATATATATATATATATATATATATATATATATATATATATATATCCATATAACAATTATAATAAAATATATGGATATATATATATATATATATATATATATATATATATATATATATCCATATATCAATTATAATAAAAAAAAATCGCTAAGAAATAAGATCCGCCCCTGATATATATATATATATATATATATATATATATATATATATATATATATATATATATATATATATATATATATATATATATATATATATATATATATATATATATATATATATATATATATATATAAATACATATATATATATCCTTATAACAATTACAATAAAATATATGGATATATATATATATATATATATATCCATATAACAGTTATAATAAAAAAAAATCGCTAAGAAATAGCTATAAAGCTAGCTAGTCGCAAGCTAATTTTTCACCGGATACAGTTCCACAAAATAAAAAAAATAGGACTTGATGTCCTCAGTAAACAAGCAAAAGAAGTTTTACATTGAAACTTTAAAAATCACTAAAAGAAATTCAAAATAGATGTTACACATTCGCATTACTTATAACAACTTTCAAGGTGTTTTGTTGATTATAACAGTAAGGGATCGTCCATAAATTACGCAACGTAAAATATATTTAAAAAACAGAAGTAGGAGTATTAAGCTCTTTTACGCGGCGATTTTCATTGAACTTAACGATTTTTGATTTAAATTTAAATTTAAATGATTTAAAGTCTCTGCGAGGGAAAATTTTTGATCTTTTTTGGTTCGTTTATTGTGAAAGTTACATAATTTATGGACGATCCCTAAGAAGATTTAAGAATAACTCCAGAGAACTGTTTGAGAATGTTTTTGCTAGTCATTGCTAATGTTTTTTTGCAAGTCATGTGTAATATTTCAAACAATATTTTTCAAAAACTCAGAGAAAACAAAGTGTAAAAATTACAAATATGTTTAAATATCAAACAAGGCTTCTATATCAACTAAAACATTTACAAACATATAAGATAATTAATTTTAATTAAATTCCTTATTAAATTCTTAATCACATAAAATTTATTAATAACATAAAATTTATTTATATTTTTCAAAATTTAAAGTTTTACGAATTATAAAATGTTTACTGGCAGAGGTTTGCAAAGCAAAAAAGTCTGAAAAATGTTTACTTGTCCCTAAATGTATTCTCCAAACTTTGCTAATAATTCTTTGCGGTTGGTCAACATTGTTTAATTTATTGTTTAATCTCATCACATTAATTATTATTAAATCTATCACATGATTTCGTTATTAAATATATAAGGGCCTAGTAACTTAAAAAATTACCATGCCTGTTTGCAACAACATTTTTGTTGTTGTGACTCAAAGCGCTTGGACGTGAAGCAAATTTACAATTGGTAAAATTATTTATTTGCATATTTGTTTATAAAACGTTATGAAACAGTTAGTCTTATAAGCAACAATTAATTAAGTCTATTTATTACATTCATTTAGAAAAGTGAAAGTTAAAGAGTGGCACCCTGGCACCTTTTGCTGTATCTTTAAACATGAGCAAACTGCTACTATTGGTGGCATTATGTGGAACCTTTTTCGTAAAAGGTATTTATTTCACCGTATATCTGTGATGTAAAAGTTTTGTGTCACTTTGATATTCGGGTGAGTGAAATCAGAGGTTAGTTTTCAAATAATTTCATTAATGAATTATTCGACGCCTAAAATATGGGGGTGCGTAAGTGCAAAGTATTTATGTTAAATATGATTACCTCGTTGATTTAGAATATTTTAAATGAAAATAAAACAAAATAATGATAAGCGTTGTATATTTGTTTTTGTTTTTTAAATTTTTAGCGCATGCTGAAAGTATCTTTTCGTTGGAATCTTTTAACTATCCTCAGTATAGAATTGGGATTAGAAGTGATGCAAGTGCAGCAATTACATTATATGGTACTGAGGAGTTTCGCATTGTAGGAGGTTAGACTAGATGATTTAAAAATTATAATTTTTTTTCAATAATAAATTATTTACATAAAATAGCAAATAATCTACAACAAAACAACGACATAATTAGGCTCAAGTTATCTTCATAATAAAAAATAATTTAAGCACAGAATTTAAATCAATAAATACATATAAAAAATTTATTTGTTTCACAAAAAGCAGTTTTTTTATAATAGTTCAATTGATGTGGTAGTAGAATTAGTGTGTTCATTTTTTTTTTAATTGTTGTTGCCATGTTTTTCGTTTTTTTAAGAAGTTGCTTTTATAGCGCGATTTTGCAACTATGTAACATTTTAGCATCTTTGCACATTTAAAATAATAATTCTCCATAATATTCCCATTTTCATTTAACTATTTTCCATAATATTCCCACTTTCCTAAATGACACGAAACACAAAAAAAAACTGAAGAATAGCAGCGTTAAACTTATATGTCATATACAATACAAAATCTACAATACAAAATCTACATTATATAAAAGTTGAGTATACTAATGGAGAAGCCGATACGATTCAAATGGGCGAGCCTATTTGATTCTTGAGCCTATGCGATTTCTGAGTCAGTTCAGTATTGTTCAGTATTTCATTTATAATGAAATAATATAATGTTGTAGAATATGTTTGTTGATTAATTTTATATAATTTTATATATAAAATTATATAAAATTTTATATATAAAATTATATAAAATTAATCAACAAACAAACAAAAATCTATAATTTTAGCACTTAACGGACGGGCCGATGCAATTTCTCTTCAGTCAGTGAAGGATAGCAATAAGTTCCTTCGTCATCAAGGTTATATCCTCAAGTTGCATCCAGAAGATAACTCTGCGCTCTTTAATAACGATGCTTCTTTCATTGTTCGTCACAATAAATATTACCCAGGCTATGTTTCGTTTGAATCAACAAATTACCCCGGTCATTTTCTAAGACATCAAGGTTATACTATTAAATTAAACAACGAAGAGCCACATGTTGAGCTTTTTCGCAAAGATGCAAGCTTTAGATTTGTTCAACTGGGAATTTGTAAGTTAAATATATTATCAAATTAGTTTTCTTTTTAAAATATTATTTTTCTGTTCATATTTTTTAAAGATTTTTTTCATTATATAATTGCTGATAACAAATTATATATTTTGATAGTTTAATGTTTATACTAACAGCTCTTATTGGAAAACGATACTCGTTTCGATCCAACAATTATCCATTGTATCGCATAGGCATAAGAGAAGATGATACTGCAGCTATTCAGTTAAACAACTGGCATGAGTTTATAATTGTGAAGGGTATGACAAGTGTTTTGGATTGAAACTTTTATTTTTATTGAAAATATGATTTACAAATTTTTTATTCTTTGCTTTAAATTATATTTTAAAAAAATATTTCTTGACTACTCTTTTAGCACTTAACGGACGCGACGACTCTGTTTCTCTTCAGTCTACACAACAAAGCAACAAGTACTTACGTCATCAAAACTATATTCTTAAGCTACATTCAGTAGATCTTTATTCTGACCTCTACAAGAACGATGCTTCATTTATTATTCGTCAAAACTATAATTATCGAGGTTACATTTCATTTGAGTCAACAAACTACCCTGGTTATTTTCTGAGACATCAAGGCTATACTATGAAGTTGCATGCAGAAGAACCTCTTGTTGAACTTTACAGAAGAGATGCAAGTTTTAAATTGAGTAGTTTTATGAAGACACATTATTACTCTCATTTAATAAATGTGTGTAAAGTTTTGTTATCTTTTGATTAGTTTTTTGATTTTTGTTTAAATTAAGTTAACATTATAATAATTTAAGTTAACAAAAACTTTTTTAAGTTTTTTAAACATAACTTCTACTATTATTTTTATACAATGTTAGTAACTTGAAATGTATGATTTAATAAAAGTCGGATTAATTAATTATAAAACAAATCCTGTTTATTCTGTTAGTTAGTAAATGTGTTTTAAAACTTTTTTTTTTAATCCTAGTAACAGGGCGTTTTTAAAAGTTTTTCAAAGTTTTTTACTAACTGCCAAAAATGCATCATTTTTAATTAAAAAAACCGAATAAAACAAATATTAATATACTTCCTAGCGACGGATCAAGGAATATTTGTTGACCAGTGTCGTAGCTAAAGGTTCTCCCCCAACCTGTTATTAGGGCCCCAAAATCTTAAAAACCTTTAATTATGCACGGTCAATTACAAGCGTTTTTTTTTTTTTTTAAATATATATATATATATATATATATATATATATATATATATATATATATATATATATATATATATATATATATATATTTATTTCACCTTCTACAATAAAAACATTTTTCATACATATACAACAAAATAAGTAATGGCTGGAGCAAGAAGAAGAAATATTTCTGACTAATCACCGAGCCACATTTTTATAAAATCGTGATATATAAATATTACATTGTATTCGCGTAATTGCTAAAATGCTTACATTATCTGCAGTTGCAAAAAGAAAAAGAATGCAGCTGCAGTTGCAAAAAAAAAACGATTGTATACTTGCAATAAAATAAAATAAGATAATAATAATAATAATAAAAAGAGGTATACATAAATTTATATTAAAAGAGTAAAATCATTAATAAACTTTGTGGGTTGTGATAATAACATTCTTTTAAAATATACATATTTTTTAAGTTATCTTGATTTTTTAACAAAGCTTTACTTTATTAAAAAAAAAACATTTAAAATCTAGCATACTGAGACCACCCTAGTAGCAAACAATATAGGCGCAATATTGGGGCGATATTGTTTACAATATTGGCGCAACATTGTAAACTATATCGGACCAATGTTGCAATGTGAACATTTTGCCATTATTGGCCAATATTGGCACTACTATATTGCGCCAATATTGTAAAGTCAATATTGGCCAATATTGGGGATACAATATTGCACCAATACTGTAAAGTCAATATTGGCCAATATTGGCAAAATGTTCACACTGCAACATTGGTCCGATATAGTTTATAATATTGCGCCAATATTGTAAATAATATCGCGCCAATAATGGGGATATTATACTGGCCAATATCGGCCTAATATAGTTTACAATATTATTCTGATATATATAATATATATAACTAAAATAAGGCAATATATTGAGTACTTTCGTTTAAATTTTTATTATTAAAAAATAATAAAAAATATTGCCTTCTACAAATTTGTAATAATTAAAATTACTAAAAGTTTTCTTGTTTAAGTGATACTATAGTACTAGGCTGCATTATTCTTTTGAGTCGAACAGATTATAGTCTAGGAGATGACAATAATCATAGAACACGCTTTAAGAAAAAAAAATTCGAAATCATTAAATTTATTTGAAGTTATATGAAACAGATACAAATGAAAAAAAGAGGTATAGAGTTTTCTAAAACCAAAATATAACAAAATAAAATCAATGTTATTTAAATTTACAAAAAATGTTATTTACACGTACAAAAAATATGTATGTATATATATATACATACATATTTATATATATATATATATATATATATATATATATATATATATATATATATATATATATATATATATATATATACATATATATATATATATATATATATATATAAATGTATATATATATATATATATATATATATATATAAATATGTATGTATATAAATATGTATATAAATATGTATGTATATATATATACATACATATATAAATATGTATGTATATATATATATATATATATATATATATATATATATATATATATATATATATATATATATATATATATAATATATATATATATATATATATATATATATATATATATATATATATATATATATAAACTACTTTATTAAACTCTCACTATGAGATAGTAGGCATCGACTTTTATTATATTGGCAATACTTATTTCATTGCTCAATATTGGGCGTTGCTCAGTTACGGTTCTATTTTTCTTCCATAATCTCTATTAATGGCCGTCGCCAGAAAGCTGCCAATTTTTTCTTTAATACTTTCGTCAGTAGCGATTTTGAAATGAACGAATACAACGATAAACGACTAAACGCAACTCTACAAAATGTTTTTTAAATATCATCACAATATAATTTTGAAATATATAACTTTTTACGCATAAATATTGTAAAGTAATTAGCTTTTATTAAAATATTTATTTATTAAAAGGAAATGGGATGTAGAATACAAATATTGTGCTTTACCAATAACGACCTTGCAGGACATTTTTGTTTCATTCCATACACTGAGTATGAAAAACATACTTCTTTGACCATTAGCTGTATTAAGATTGCCGCTGCAAGTTGTTTCTCATCTCCTCCAAACGAAGTAAGAAAGTTCATCTAAAACAAGAAAACAAATGTAATATAATTGGTTGTACTAAAAGTATAATGGTTCCTCATGTGTATGTATTAGACGGTTTTCCATAATGTGATTCTTATTAAAATATGACATCATGGAAGAGTAAAAGCATTTGGTTATAAATAGATTATGACATCTGTAGCGGTGAATATACCCTACAGATGTCAAAGATATCTGAGATTAGTAGTCATTGCTACACAAAATACATTGCTAACTGGGCATAAAAGATAAAAATCACAATAAAATGTAATAAGCATTTATATGAAACATTCTGATATACAACTTAACTATAGTCAATCACGTATCATATTGTATCATTTGTTTTTATGTTTCATATAAATGTATCATATATTTTAAAAATTAGAAACTTTAATAGTACAGGTACTGTTTCCAAAAACTAATAACTAATATCAATTCACTGATATATACTATTGATTCATAAGGTGTCTTTGTTCCATAACTCTTCTTCTAGGTTTAAAAGATCTTTTTTCATCTATAACCGGCAAATAAATTCAATAAATTGAAAGAGATAGTCAAGCAAAGCTCTGATGGAATCACTTAATACTAAAACACTAAAGATTTCTTCAATCTTTGAAAAACTGAGAGACAATCTGTCTCTCAGTGTCACTTTTTTTGTAACCTGCATCCTTTTAAGCTGGAGGCACAGATAATTCCGTTCTTAAGCAGTCTCATAACTGTCAAAAAAAAGTATAAAGAAGAGATGAAACCATACTAAACAATCAACATTTACTATATTTGAGCCAAACATAGCTGTTTAGATAAAAAAACAAAGACAATACTGTACATGAAACAAAAACAATATTGTAAATAAGACAATTACCAAAAAATTCTTATTTTTAGCTGCTTTCAGTTACTTTTAAAAGCGTGACTTTACGTATGGCAGTTTAAAGGCAAGATGCTTGCAAGTGATTTGGCCAATACACCAAACTTTCATTGATACGCCATGAAAAACAGATTACATTCATAGCACACATATTGTTTTTTTCATTGAAAAATTCAGCCAGAGCAAATTTTGTAAACTTTATTACCACCTTCAGTTTAACGGTGCATCAGCTAAAAATAATCACAAATAAATTTATGATATAAAAAAACTTCAGATTAACTTTCTTTTTTGAGATTATTATTTTTTTTTTTAACTGAAAATATTAGTCTAAAAATTATTGAGATTCATTTTGTAATGTTTAATGTAATCGCTTACTATTGCAAGTAGAGTTTAATTATTGGTTAGTAAAAAAAAGTGAATTATAAAGTTTGCGCGGTTTGGAAAGGATTCTATGATAATATTTTCTTATTTAAATATGACATTAAGGAAGATAAACAACTTGAGGCTCTAAGTAAATATTTACCATTTTGCAATTGTACATTTGATGAACCCAAGATGCATCTAGATGTTTTTTTAATGTCGTGACAGATGTTGAACACTATTTCAGATGGTAGACTATTCTACAAATTTGTGAATTTCATATTAGAAAAGTTTTTTCCGGACATCTGTCTTACAAAACATTTTTTTGAATTTATAAGCATGATCGAATGTTGTTTAGTGGGAGTTAGTCATAATAGATAATAATTACTAACTAAATATATAATCATATATTACTATTAAGAAGTGGCCATATTAACACGCATCCTATTACAACTCAGATTAACTTCTTAATGGTCTGTAATTACAATAATAAATATAATGGCTGTGCAGATGACATCATTCTGACACAGGTGTTGATAGATAAAATACTGAATGGTATTTTATGAGGAAACAAAAGGGTTGCAACTACAATTATAAAGATTGTGAATGCATTTGTAAGTTTCTGCCATGTCATTACATAAGAAACGATAGCTCATGCTAGTTAAATTTAGTCTCAGTAGTCTTTGGTTGTAAGTAATTCCAGTCTGGCCAAAAACAAATTTACTAGACTAGCATAGAACATTTTAAATTAATTGTTGATCTTTTTAAAGTCTAGGTTAGTAGACAGAGCTGCAAGAATCAAAGTGAGGACGAATAAGGAAAATAAACAAAGTACGAAATGTCAAGATATTGAGATTGACAAATGATCTTTTGATCATTCCTACAACTTTATTAGCAGTGTTATTCTTAGTACTTACAAAATAAAAGTCAAATTACTGTCAATGAAGATCCCTTTATTGACGAGAGAGTTTTTAATATTAATTGATATATTGAGATTTTTATAAACGAGTATATAAATGAATTTTGTATTTGTTGGTCATAAGGGCATTGTTGGTCCTAATGGAAAATTTTGTATTTGTTGGTCCTAAGGGTATAACTTTACATTTTTTTACATTAAAACTTAGTTTTCATAGTTTTTCCCAGTTTGCTATAATGTCCATACTTTATTGCAGGTTATTGCATGGTGAGCTATCAAAAAGCAAACTGTATAACTTAGTATCATCTGTAAATACAGATACAACATATAAAACCAAATCAGAAAAATCTTTATTATATATCATAAAAGTTAATAATGGGGGACCCCACTATTTACTATTATCCATTCTGAGTATGTACCACCAACAATGATACTC